GTTGAGTCTAATCCACGAGCATGTATAATTTGACGTTCACTTCAAAGTGAAAAGCGTTTCGTGTTAGTCTTTTTGACATTACTTGAACTGATCAACACTCAGTTAACTCCAATATCCTTTGCTTACATTCTCTCCTTAAGGGTGCGCGATAGACTTACCTCCACGTGGTGCACCCTGGGCAACGTATACTCACACAGCAAAAAAGTCTATTAACTGGCAGTTGACTTCTGACTTCAAACTACCATCACCCCACTGCATGTCAAATTCGACTCCTTTCACAGTACTCACCTTACCTTTTTCTCTACCTTTGTGTCTGTCTGCCTCTTTTACATCTGTGAATCGCTCTTCTCTTCCCCACCCCTCGACTTTCTGCTACTTTGATAAACCTTCCCTCTGTGAAGCCCGAAGTCAGCTAAAGGGCTAATGATAAGTGTCATAAAGCCCGATATTTGAAATAAATAAATAAATAAATAAATACATTCTCTCCTTCTGAAAGACGCATTTTTATTTAGTAGATAATATTAAAGCATAAAATGGCAGATCATTGCTAACCCCATTTAGACTTTGAAATCATGAGTAGTACCTATTAAACATCCAAAAATTTAGAATATTTGTATGTTTATAAGATAATGTAATTTATCCCTTTTGAAATTTAAATTTTATTTCAATGGTCAGGTTTCCAATTTGGCTTGGCATGATTTGACGTCTGTGTGTAATAATACAGGTAGCCCCTTCAAGTCATTTTTATACCAAATAGAATTTGCGTCCTTTCATACTGCTTACTTATCAATGTGATATTTCTTAAAAAGACCTGCTTGTACCCGGCTTTCTATTGAATAGGTCGAAGTAAATTTCGGCGCCATTTAAGATTTACCCATTACCTCTGGGATTCAGGTTACGCTCTACTTCCTCATTCATCTTTGTCATGAATATTCGATTCAGCTGTGTGTTCAGATATTATCCTGTGTGATAGTTTTACTTCCCCACTGGTCACGTTATTTTATACCTCGATCAAGGTGAACCTTTTTCAAGCCCAAACATATTAGACCCTTATATGCCTTCTATTCCCAACATTAGATATTTAAAATGATCAATTTTGGCTGCTGATTAATATCGAAGTTTCATTTACAGAAGGCATCGATTCATGTTTATAATTTGCGCGTTCTCAATTATACTTTCAATTCCCGATATAAATCAATATAATAACATGTAATTGTGACAAACTATTTATTTAATTTAATTTAGCCGGATTTGAAGAGAAGAATGGCAACCTGGCCCATGTAGAAGTAAATGAAGTGTTTGGTCTCATGTGTGACATAGCTAAGTGGATAAAAAGAAACAAATATTATTAAAAAAACTTTGTAAGATAAATAAAAATAACCTTTATAAACTGTGATCAGCTTACCTGCCAAAGTTTCGGCCAACAATACAGTGCCAAGTTGGGCTGTATCTTTGGTCAAATTCCTTCTTGATATGCGCAGCAATATCTTTTTCAATGTTGAATTTATCCATCCCCTGGTTAGCGATGTCTACGGCTGCC